GGGGGGGGGGGGCGCAAGGGGCCCCTTCAAAAGGCTTGCAGATGCGCTTGCATCAAGGGGGCAACGCAGGTCGCTGTGTCAGTGGCCCCTGCAACCTCGCGCAATGTGCCGTTCTTGCCCACTCAATCAAAGCATGCACACCTGATAAATCATCAGGATTGGCGGCCCTCCGCACAAATCTTCCTCTCAACCCCCGTAACGCAAGATTGGAAGCTGCCAGATGCAATAGCAAGCGCTTGGGTGATGCACGATGTGTGCGCCAACGGGCCAAGCGCTTGCGATGCGGCATACAACAGTCCCAGCAGAGGTTTTGGTGAGCCGCTGCATGTTAGATGTCCGCATTGGAAATCCTGCCCTGTGCTGGAACCGCGATCACCGCGCTCCTTTCCCAGGCCGTGGAGGCGCACCAAAGGAACCCAAACTCTTGCGGATGCTAGCACAGTGCACCGCGTCTGAGGCGTAAGGACGGCACGGCTGCGCCCCAGACTCAAGCTTGCACCAGCCAAGTGCCTGCGCTGAGGACGCAGAGCTGTGGGGCCGCTGGTCCTTGCAGAGCGCTCAGTGGCGCCGCCGCCTGGTTTCGAGGGTGAGAATACGGCCTGATGTACAGGCGCGATGCGCGTCCCAGTAGCGCCCAGAGGCGCAGCGAAGTGCGCGGCGGGCGGCGCAGCGACGAGGCGCGCTAGTACGGGCAGGGCGGCCCTCACCACTGGATGCGACCCGCCCACTGGATGCCACTCGCCCCCATATTGTAGGGTCCAGGCGCTGAGCGCAGGCTAAAGGCCCCCACCCCCATCTGTTCATCAATCGTTGACACCACCCCGACGCCCACCGCGCCTGGCGCATTTGGGTTGATGCTCGCAGGTGCCGACAGATTGGTCCCAGCGCCGCTGTGGTGGTGGTGGTGGTGGTGGTGCTGCTGCTGCTGCTGCTGCTGCTGCTGCTGCTGCTGCTGCTGCTGCTGCTGCTGCTGCTGCTGCTGCTGCTGCTGCTGCTGCTGCTGCAAGCCAGCGTCAAAACCCTTTGCGGAGCGCGCATCGGAGTGCACGTCGGTAAACAGGCTTGCGTTGTTGCTGCTCGACAGGATCTCCAAGCCACCGAGAAGAGTGCCCGGCGCCGCTGGCAAGTTTGCCGCGCTGCCGCCCAGCAGGAAAGCGCCAGTCCCTGACATACCGCCGGCGTCCATTGGGCTGTAGGACAGCAGGAGGCTGCCAGTGGCAGACCAGAGGTTCTCGTCGTTAGAGACGGATATCATTGGCGGCAGCGGCCCTGATGCTGGCAACATGACGCCGCCACTGCCGCCAAGCAGCATGCCCGCTGGCACGTCGCCCGCCACCAGCTGCTGCAGGAGAGCCTCCTTATGCAGCGTCCGCAGCTGCTGCTGCTGCTGCTGCTGCTGATGCTGATGCTGCTGTTGCTGCTGTTGCTGCTGCTGCTGCTGCTGTGCCGCCTGCTGCTGCAGCGCGTGCAACTGCTGCTGCTGCTGCTGCAGCAGCTGGAGGTACGCGATCTGCATCGATATCTGATCCGCCTGCGAAACCGCAGACGAGCCACAGGCAGAGGCCGCAGCAGTGGCGGC